TTCACCTGAAGCAGTAAACAGAAGATCCCACATTTGCAAAAATAAATACACAAGGAGGAAAAAGCCTACACTTTATGGCAAGTTGGACAGCATGACCTAGTTCATCCTTTTCCATTTAATTTTCTTTTTTAATTAGGCTTTTTCCTCCTTGTGTATTTATTTTTGCAAATGTGGGATCTTCTGTTTACTGCTTCAGGTGAATACAAGATTTAAGAAAAATCTTAAGAGATGAGGTAACTAATATGAAACTAATAGGAAATATTGTTCTGAAGAAGTGTGTTTCAGATGAATAGTCAAATATATATGTTCATTAGTATCTTTGTAGAAGTTATAAATAGAACTAACATCCTACAAAGATGGTGGAAGGGACAGTGCATCAGACCTAACATTTCATTCTACCTTTAACTGGTTACAATATGGTTGCATGTATGTCTTCTTTTCTCTTTATTTTAGCTTTTAAGGAAATTGGGGGTGGTGGAAAGGAAAGGAGAACTTCAACATATATGAGATGCACTCCATTTGCTAAAGTCCATGGCAGGTTTTTAAGTTTGTTGTGCCTTAATATCATTAAATAAAGACAGATCAGTATTCTTGGTTTCGATTATCAAGGCTTATAAAAGCATCACTAAAGCATGGTAGTATTGTTGCTAGGCTATTGCAGTCAGTTGTTTGCATGTTTAGTCCTATAATTACAAATGTAATTATGTGGCAGAGGAGGCTGGCAGCCTCAGCCTTAAGCTGGAAAAGAGCCAGAAGCGGAAACTTCTCAGTGAAGAAACTAGCGAGGGGAGCAGGAGCTCAGCAGGGCCTGGTGAAGTGGCCAAAGCTGAAATTGAGACAAGTGTGAGCAGAGAATCAAAAGTTGGCTTAAGTTTCAGGAAGAGGTTTAAGGAGCCAGAGGGAAGTCATAAAAGACAGTGGTGTTTGGTGTAGACTGGGCACCTTGCAAGCAAAAGGAAGCCTAGTTAGTTGTCTGCACCCACTCTTTTCCTGCTCCCTGTGTCTCCCACACTGTTTTTGATGTCTCCTTATAAGCATTCACTCAATAACTCCCTTTCCTAGCTCTGCTGGGCTCCTGTTTGTCTTTCAGCAGCATCTCGTCTCCAGCTTCCATGTTCAGCAGCTTCTCTTGGTTTCACTCCAGCTGAGCCTTTCTTGCCACTCCCGAGAGTCCTCTCTCTCTCTTTCTCCTCTTACTGTCACGGGCTGTAGAAGCAACACCTAAGCTTCAGCTTCCCCACAATAGTTTTCCTAGTGTGTTCAGGCTTTGGAGTAGGAGTAAAGTTCTGCAACATCTGGGCTCTAGACTCAAAACCTGATATTGTGTTTTATATTGGGGGAAAAAAAATCTTTGTAGGAAACAAAATATCTGCTTTGAAAGTTTTCCCTGTGTCTGAGTCTGAAACGCTCTTACCTCAGATACTGCATATTTGTAACCCTAGTCAAAGGCTCAGAAAAAATATGTAGGCTTTACAGTGTACTTATCTGTCTAATTCAAAAATTACTTTACGCCCTACATAGTAAAACAAAATACTACATTAAAGAAAGATATTTAGGTTGCTTTTCTGCTTTCTAACATTGGACCAGTTCACTAAAATATTCCTTAATGTTCAATGTCAGCTACCGGGTAGAGCAGTTGACGTTTCAACAAACTCTTCCTGCAAGTATTCTTTATTCATGCATGCAAAGTCAGTGTGAGTGCTTTCTTGAGCACTAAGCATCAGCTGAGCAAGTGAGAGCTGCAAGATCAATTTTTGTTTTTTTTGAACATGATGGGGTTTGTTTTTTTTATACCTACAATATGTTGCTATAAAAATGAGAATACTGTTGACATTGTGCTTTTCTCCTTACTGAAGCGTACACTAAAAATATGCTATCGAGACAGTTATTTTTAAGGACTTGTTCTAATTAGTTTTAGCCTGGCCCCACTACATTCTGCACCTGTCAAATAGTCACAAAAATCAGCAACATCATGCTGTCAGTGTTTACTTTAAACGTATAACATTTCTTAGCAATTTTTATAATGTGGTATCTTATGTGTTTTTCTTTGTTTTTAATTTCTTAAATGATCCCTTTTTTCAGATTTCAAATTATAATCTATTTCCTGATCCATTGCTGAAGCCCTGTGATCCATGTCAGAAGTACTTCCAGGTCAGATGCCCTTTCACGTATTTCCATAGCAATCTTTTAAAATCTTTCTCTTTTTACCAGGCCCACATGTGTGTTAAATTTGTATTCACAAGTAAAAAGAAAACAATCAAAAAACCTACCAACCAAACAAAAAACCACCAGGAGTTTTAATTTCTTTTTACCAGAACCTTTTTATCATTCACTCTCTTATTCAGCTTCATAAAACCTTGCCTAAAAAAATCCAGTCACAACCAACCACATTTAAAAAAAAATGTATTTATGTTTTAATATAGAGGCTGATATTCTTGTGTTTTGTAGTAACTCTCACTCTCAGCTTTGTAAAGTGTGTGACATGATATTTGAAAAAAAATCAATAAAAGCTGTTCACTTTTATTGT